CTCTCTACTTCTTTGTTTAAATTTTTTCATATAAATTATTGTCTTGATTATTGTTTTATTGTAAATGCTTTCTTGTAAATGTTTTCTTGTATTTTACTTTTATAGTGTTTTGTGTTTTATTTTAATCATGTAAAGCACCTTGAATTGCCTTGTGCTGATAGTGTGCTATACAAATAAAACTGCCTTGCCTTGCCTTGCCTAAAAAGAGATTAAGAAGCAGAACTTTGTGCTGAAAACAGGTGAATTAGCAGAATTTCTGCAAAAAAAAAAAGGGGTAAAGAAGCTGAAGTTTGTGCTGAAAACAGCTGAAGAAGCTGGAATTTGTGCTGAAAAGTAGTGGAAAAAGTGAACATTCTGCTAAAAAGGGGTGAAAAAGCTGAAATTTGTGTTGAAAAGAGTTTAAACAGTTGAACTGTTAACTGATTTTTTTTTTTGTCATAAGCGGGATTCGAACTCCTGCTCTGAGAACAGCTGCTCATCTCACTGAGCTAAAACATGGCTCAGCCTGGCAAACAAAACTGGTGATCACACTGATAATGTGGTCCCATTAAGCAAAATTGGCCCAAAAATTGAATAAAAAGCTTAATATCTCAAAAAGTATAAACGTTATTAGCATGAAAAGATATAGCTGGTATTAGCAGAAGGAGCAGAACAGTATACCGGTAAAGTTTAAATCGGTTGAAAACTGAGGGAGTAGTTAACCAGCAAAGGTCTGAGCAACTAGAATAAGGTAGAATAAAGTTTAAAGAGAAACAGGATCTCACACAATTAAATGTTTCATACTCACTACATTATACAACCAAACAGAGGGAGTACAGCAGATAGTGGAGTGTGTTTTTATGCATAAAATATCTTCCCACACATTCATCCAGTGACTTGGATGATGGTTAGCGCCCACTTTGCCCACAGTAGTGTAAATATATCCTGCCGCAGCATGGGTGTCTCCGTGGTTTGATAGAAATGGACATTGCTGTCCTCTTGAATCAGAAGATTTCATGGGCAGCTGTCAAAAGTCATGCTCTTAACCCTGAGCTCGATTGGCTAGGACACACATGCAAACGGATACATCCGTGAGCAACACTCTGTGCACCTACGTTCCACATCGACTTGAACAGATGTTCAACTTGTGTGCCAGCGTGATCCAACGTGTGTGTTTATTTTTGTGTCTTTTTAGATCAGTTTTCCCCATTCATCCATCGTTCAGAGTGCTGGCCCTAGCAGAACCCCCTGTCGTGGGGAGTGCAGGCAGCAACAGCAGAGCTCAGCAGTGGTTGGGCCCCGAGGTGCTCACTATGTTCCTTTACCACAATGTCATGCCGCTGGCCAAAGAAGAGGAGATGGGCCTCATACAGGGACTGGTGAGACATACAAATACTGAGACCTACTAAAAATCTTGGATGGGTTTCAATCTCAGTGACCTTGACCTTGGTCAAAGGTCAGTGGTCAAGTTTTGTTAAAATCCTTTGAATTTGATAACTGGAAAACAAGGCGACGTAGAATTTTGAAATTGATCCCATACATGTGTCTCTAGGAGGCTGAGGGGTAGCACTGGTGTTTGCCAGTATTTTTCTAACTGGAAGACAACGCCTCTGTTTCCACTCCTTCTTGGCTTCTTTTTCTTCTTTTGTTTTTAGGCTCCTAATGTACCGATGGAAGGAGCAGAGCAGCTACTGCACCTCGCACACAGTCTCCGCAAGACAAATGACCCCACAGTAAGTGTGTGTGCTTTACATATGGCAGCAGTTCCCAAATGGTGGGC